GCCCCCCCCCCGGGCCCCCCCCCCCCCCCCGGCACAGCGCTGCGCTCCCGACGTTGAGTTAACTTTTTTAATTTGCCAATTTGTCAATCCCGCAAGAACAACATTTTAATTTTTTGTGCTTTTCTTTTTCTTTTTTTTTTTTTGTTTTGTTTCCCCCTTTTCTTTCATTTTCACAGAAAAGATCAAAGAGGCTAGATGGTGAAAACATTTATATCAGGCATAGCAATTTAATGTTGGAGGTTTGTATGAACTTGAAGCTTTTTTCAGTTGCGTTTGCCTAGACCTTCTGCATCTGCGCTGAACTTTTTTCTTTCTCTTCTGCCGCTGCCTTTGTTTTTGCATGCTGTTGCATGAAAGACCTTTTTTGTTTGGTTGGTTGTTTTTTTTAAATACGCTTTTGCATGGTGACAGTCAACACGACGATGTGCAGGCATTCTTCCTTCTACCTCTTCTGACTTTCATTCTCTCACACTTACCCGAAATATATGATTGGCAGAGCTGCTTATGTCTGCTCTTGGACCCGCTGGGTGCTCACAGTGACGTGAATCGTGGCAGGGGGCTCATTTACAAGTTTCTCCTTGCTTGAAATAAGTTTTTTTTTTTTTCCCCTGGGGGGAAAAGACAGTCTATGAAAATGCAAAAATTCAGGGTAAGATGCAGGTGAAATTGCCTCGCAGCATCTTCAGCGCTCCCCCGGGCCCCAACCTGCATCGGTGCCGGGTCCCCTTGGAGCTGACGCGGGGGCTCGATGGCCGTGGGTGGCTTGCGAGCAGGTGAGAAGCCATTTCATCCCTCCTATTCCCTTTGGCTTTGGAAACCCTTTACGCTTGGTTTTGCCCAAGCACGGTCTCAGAACAGACCATGCCAATCATATATTTATTAATTTTTCAATACACTCTGTTACGGAAGACGTTTTGTGGCTTCTGATACTCTGTGTTACGTGTTTCTACTCGACCTTGCAGCACCAGCAGCTGGTAGGGTTTCCCTATTGGTATCTCTTGCAAGTGAAGTGTACTAACTGCCTTCTCCTAATCTCAATTTTAAAAGTTTTGCAGCTTTTGGGTGGTTTTTGGTTGGGGTTTTTTTTAATTTTTTTTTTTTTTTGACTGCTACAACCTAAGCTTTCTGCCACGAGCGAAGGGTCTGCGGCACGACGGGCAGGGTTCAGCCGCCGCCGGAGCGCTGCGAAGACTGCGCCTGTCACTTCCTTTTGCCCAACTCGAGCATCCCCATCTCCCCAACCCCAAACAGAGCTTTTTCATTGCTTCTAAACCCCTTTTTCCTGTTACTGCAATACTTGGCTCTGGCACCCAGCCCCTTCTCCCTCCGCTGCCCTTCCCACCGGTTCTGTTGCAGGTGCTCCAGCCCTCCCCTAGGAAGGGGCTGACCCCAGCAGCTCACCCCCTTTATTCCTTTTGGGTTTTTTTGTTTTTTTTTTTAAACTCCATGCATTTGGCAGATCAGGTGTTTTTCCAGCAGACCTCATCCTCCCGAAGCTGCCGCTTGATTTTATTGTAAGCCTTTTATCGCTCCGTGCTTGATAACCCGCTCTCCGTATTATTACAAAAAGGGGCGAAACAGGAGGAAAAGCGTTAACGCTGAGGGAGCTTGTTCCTCCAGATGCTTTCAAGACCCATTGTGGCTCCACGTAGCTCTTCGTGGCTTTAGCTTCTCCGCAAACCCTCCCAGGACCAGCTCCTGCGCAGTGGTGGATAGCCAAGGTGGTCTTTCTCTCTTCTCTAAACCAGGAGCTGCTGTAGGGCTCCTGGACCTGGCAGGCTTATTTATGGGTTTTTTTTTTTTCCTAACTAGCAGGCACTTGCCTTGTGCTTTCATCCAGGAAAGATGCCAAAACTCGGGGTTGTTTTCCCCCCCCCCCCCAGAACCGTGCCAAATGTTGTTACTGAGGGTTTGGGGGCTGTAGCCCTGCAGAGGGCGGGCGGTGTGTCCTGGGTAAGCTGCAGGGATGCAGAGATTGGGGGTGCGTTTGCTCTCCCATCGTCTAAAATCGATGGGCCGAGAACCAACTGAAAGCCCCAAAATAGTGACGTTTCCCAGTGATGCTTTTACTGACCTTGATTTCCCCCTTTCTAACGGGTGAGGCTTGCTGCTTTTTGGCCCTGTCCAGAAAAACTGTTGTTTGGCTTACGCCTATTTTATGGCTTACGCCTATTTTATGCAAAAGCTTTGTTTTCAACAAACTCTGGTTTGCTTGCAAGGAAAAGCTATTTTTAAACAAGTTGAAGAGAGCTGACTTGCCTTGAAGTCTGTGCATTTATGCTGTAAACTGGCATCACAGAGCAGAAATCTGGCTTTTTCCAGATGAAGTATTTTAGCAGGAGTTTCTTCATTGATCCAGCACAAAGTAACTTCTCAGTTTGATTTTTAAAAGGCTGTCATCTCATCTTCATTTCAGAAGTCTAAAACCTCCTGTGGTAGCTCCTGGAGGGATGAGATGAGAGTTGGGGGAAAAGTAATGGGAGTATTTTGGGACCAAAGATAATTCCTGGTAGGATGAAAGCAAAATAGGTATGAAGAGAATAAATAAAATTGGGAAAATATTTTCTTTAAATGTTAACTGCATTTATACTCGTGAATTTTGAGGCTAGCAGAGGGAAAAGAAAGCAAACCCACCCAATTTAAAGACATTAAATTAAAAAAACAAAACCCGAACAAAACCCAAACAAACCTATTATTGCAATTTTTAAAAAATCCCATACGGGGAAAACCTCAGCTGTCATCTCTTTTGGTGTAGCTTGAGATGAACCGATGGCACGTCCCGCTCCTGGAGGACACCCCGCTCCGTGCCGATTGCAGTTTATCCCAATTAATACGAGAGGAAAGAGGAGAGAGGACGTTCCCTTTGTGTGTTTGCAGTGTGAGCACAATCGATGGAAGTCGGCAACACCTCTGCTGAGCGCAGCTTTGCTATGCGGCAGCCTAGGCAATCGCAGGTGTCACCTCCGTGTCTCTTCATTTATCCTGTCCTTTTACTAATAGGATCTAGATAAGACCCAAGAAGAAATAAAGAAGCATCACGCCAACATCAGTGAATTGAAGAAGAATTTTATGGAGTCCGTCCCGGAGCCTCGGCCGAGTGAATGGGACAAACGCTTGTCCACTCACTCCCCTTTCCGGACCCTCAATGTCAACGGGCAGATTCCCACGGGAGCGGATGGAGTGAGTACCTCGGCGGCGCGTGGGTGTCGGTGCACTGCGCTCTTTTCCTAGCTTTCCAACCTAGGATTCAGGCTCGGCTCCTCTTAGTTTTTAGTTAAATTGAATTTTAATAGTTAATATTGACTTTTAACATGTATAATGGTCTCTGAGAGAATTGATGGTTTAGTCGTAGTATCATAAAAATGTGATTTGTTTTGGTTTTGGTAGAAAAGAATGTAGGAATTCTTCACTTCTGGTTTTGATGCTGCTTTTCCTAGCATTGCTTTCATCCCTGATGCTCGAGTATACTTCCCATGGCTGGTTTGGGGACTGGCTTAATCCTGGTGCCAGAATATAGGTCTCCCCAAAATGTGTGTGTGGGGAAAAAGCCCCAGATCCCTAAATTGAAGGGAATTACTTCAGACATAATAGGGCAGTGGAGATAATAACCCAGTGGAGAAGCACTAGGACGATACCAGTTTTCAAAAGTCACTTTATTCCCCAGTTAACCCAGTACGTCGTTGGGTTTAGTCTTGCATTAGGATCTGCAGGTGCTGATCTGCTGTGGAGGCTCAAGAAGACTCCTCAGGTGGCTACAGCAGGGCTGTTCACACGTGATGGAAATCTTTCTCCTTAGAGGAACAGTGCCTGTATGTTAGTAGCCACATACATTCACACCTTCTCTGCTAATTTCCTTGAAAAGGTAATTTTTCAAAGAAACCGAGTTGGAGCAGCAGAGATCTTGTCTGCCAACTGGTTTCTTGTTGGATAACAGCCAGCTTCCCTCTTTAATGTTGGTGTAACCTAGCTCAGATTTGAAGCTTGTGAGTAAAACTGTAGTTACGGCCCGTGGTAATCAGCCTCTTAAATAGTAAATGCGATTTTTTTGTTACAACTGAAAAATCGCATCCTGGCTGCCGTGGCGGCAGTTGTAGACTCCCTCCTGGTTTAAGCCTGGCTTCTCCCCTTCCTACCCACAGGGCTGCAGATAAGCTTGCATTTAATCTTCAAACCAGTGCAAGGGAGCTACTTTTTAAACAGAAAAAATCTTGCAGTGGATGGAGGGTTGTTATTGTCACAGGTACAAGGGGTTTTAACCGCCGAGTTTACTACAGGCTCCTCAAAGCATAGAGAGTAGCCATGACAATTATAGGGCTTTTTTTACCCCGCTAGATAAACAAAACCCCCAAAATGAACTGATGAGGGTTGATCATTATCCTTGGAGTTACCCTGTTTAACACACGGATGAACTTTTTCCTCTTTGGTTGCTGAGTCTCAGAGTAAATTCTGCAGGACTTTGGGCAGCAGAGCTCTGCCCACGGTGCCACGTGGTTTATGGCTGTGTGGGTGGGATAGGGCAGGGGCTCTCAAGCTCCACAGCTGCAGTTCAGGAATGATATCCTTGGTTATTAGGAAGAATTTCTTGCATGGTGACCCCATTGTGAGGTCTCGGGGGGCTGCTGTTCACGATAACTGGATGGTGTGGGCTTTTCCCATCTAAAGCCGCAGCGGTCCGCAGCGATACGAGGATTGGTGTCAGCCCTGGATTTGCATTTCTGGAAGTTCCCTCTCAATCTCATCCTCTCCAAATTGGTCTTGCTCTGAGGTGGAAGTGGACACCTTCTGCTGTGAACTTCCAGAAATGCATCTTCACCAAGCACCTTCCGGGAAGGCTGTTTTCCTTCACCTGCATACGTTTAAGGATGTAAATCATGATGCAAAGCAATCCTGTTTCTTCTGTTCATGGTGGTATCGACACCCTGCCGTAGTGGCCAAAGGGTGTTCTGCCAGGGGCTGCTTTTCTGCTCTTCCTATATGTTTTATTGCAAGACAACTGAACCTTAACACGCTTTGTGTGTCCAGGTCAAGAAAGTCACTGTCCTATCTTCTGAGAGACAGGTTGGTGGGCTTGAGGTAAAGCTGCTGTTCTGATATGTGCTTCTGAACCAGACTTCTGCTATTGCAATGGCACCAAGCAAAAACTCAACAGCAGCTGCTGGATAACATTTTTTTTTTTTCTTTTGGCTACATGAAGTAGTTTCATAACTCACACACCGAGAGGACTTTTGCACTGCTGCAGCTTTTGCAGCTTTCGATTTTGCTTATTTTGGTGCATGGCTGGTTCGAAAAAGCTGCATGAAAGATATAACCGTGTATTCGGAGAGAAAAGCAATTATGAAAGTTTAACTGTACCCTGTTCTTTTTATGTTGTCTTTCTTTCCGTTTTTTGTTTTAATGATCATGTTACTCTTGCATTTTATATTTTCTTTTGCTGCCCAGTCTCCCAGCTACTTTCTCCCCAATACTCATCACTTAGGGGTGTGCAAAGAACCGGTCCCAAAATACCGCACTGATCAAAGGAGACTAGCTCAACTGAGAGAGCTTAGAACCAAGTTTTTCCTCTCCTAGGTGCGCTTGGGTTTGACCAGGTCTGGCAGACTAAAGGGATGGAGAGTTACTGAAAAGCGACATTTCCCACAATCTTGTCTTTCTCCAACGAAAGCGTTAGAGCCCTTGCATGATGATTTACTCATTTTGGTTTTTTTACATTCGTTAGACTCCAGAAACAAAAGTGCTAAAATGTGGAAGAAAATTGAAGGAGTTTGCAATGCTCCTACTGCCATCCTGCCTGTCCCACACTCGGGATTTCTAAGATTAACAATTTTTCACTTGTTCCAGTAGAATTTTCAAAACAATCAAAATTTTGATACTGTCGTCAGAACTTTGAAAAAGCATTTTGTATCTGCACTGCAGTCTGGATGTTCAGCGGTGTTTTAACAAACGCTATTTTTTAAGGGCGCTGTAGAATAGGAAGCTGTCAAAGACCATATTTTGTACTACGCCATTTCTAATGCCTCAAAACTTTTTTTTCTCAACCATTACAACTCCCAAACGCTTCAGGAGGTTTTGAGCATACGCTTTTCTGGGAAGGCAGTGACAAAACACGTGTGATCCTGATCCAGACGTTAATGAGATCTGCAGAAAGGCCTGGATTTTGTAGGTGTAAGGCTGGTGTGACCTGAGCCACCAGCAGCTCCGCTCTGCCGGGCAGTTTATTTTCACGTTGAGAGGAAGGCTGTCCTAAAGCTTTGCACACCTCCAAGTATCATTTTGGGCACTTTCCATCTGTCATTTTTGTTCATCTCTCTCTGTCTTTCTTGATCTTCTACCACGAAAGCAGACACAGGAACGTCCTCTGTTAGTACAGGATGAAGACAAACTAAAAAAGCAGGAGATACCTACTGAGACAGCCTTTCCCCGGCAAGCAAGTGAAGAAACTCTTCCAAAGGTTTCTATTCCAATTCCTGAAGAGCAGAAATCACTCAAAAAGTGTCAGCTCTACTCTAGCATTTTTCCTTCTCCACGTATTCCCTTTATGATGTCCCTTCTCCTGGTCGTAGCACTGACTGTTTGGTGGCTGCTCTTTCTCTGAGTGGCAACAGGGTCATGTTGAAACCTCAAGACCAAAGCTCCTGAATTTCTTGGCCGTAGCCTCTGCCGCATCTTCCTTGTCCTGGTCTTTGATCTCCGTAGTTCGCTGTCCCGGAGAGGGACACCCCACAACCGTCGTGTTAATCCCGCTGTGTGTCGTTGTGTAGCTGTGATCCGGAGACCTGGCAGGAGTGGTCATGGATTGCCAGGTCCCTTTTGAAGTTTCCTAGTGTGCAAAAGCAAATTCTCTGAACCTTGTTCCCGATTGCTGTAAAGACGGGGAGCGTAAATATGTGGGAGGAGACGTTTGCTTCTTCAGCCCCTGTAGACGTCACGTAGAATTGCTGCAGCCTTGCTTTTAAGCTTGTTGTTTTAAATGTAAGATCTTCACGAGCTGAAGAACATTTGATACTGCTCCAAAAGAGGCTTTTCAGCAATCTGCTGAATCTAATCCATAACCACTCCTTTCCTTGGAATCTAAGATTGGCATTTAAATAAGAAGTGTTGATTATCAATGCTGCTGTTAGTGTTAACTTAGAGACAGGGACGGGCAGCTTTTCATTTTCCCAGTGGGGGAAGCCTTTCACAAAGCATCGCCGCTTCCCTCTCGCACCCCTTTCTCCAAGAAAATACATTGTGTTGTAGGAGAAAACTCATTGCAAGGAAATATTTATTGTAAACATAGATTAATCATTTTTCTGAATCTGGTGGTCTTGGTACACTTCAGATGTGTTTTACTTAATTTGTGTTGAACTAACTGATGCATGTTTGCTTAGGTCACGGGACTGGAGTAACCTGCTGTTAGGTACGTCTCCTCTGTTAGCATGTTGACTTTACTACATCAGGACGCACTTCTAATGTTAAAGCCATGGATTGTTTTGACTTCTCTAACAAAACCGTTGCATGCCGCTTGTTGTTTATTGCCTACAAATGTAAATGTCTGGATGATGCTCATGTTTACCCGAGTTACCCTGGTTGAGCTGCGTCGGCTCCAAGAGGAGTTGCCCAACTGGGCTGAGCAGAACTGGTTTGTGAGCTGGAGGGAAGACGGGACTTTGTGTCTAAGGGGTTTCTTTTCTGTATATAGTAATTATGGGACTGAGCTCAGCCAACTGCTTCTCCTTTCGGTAGTAACGTGCTTTCTGTTGCTTTCTCCGGAGGGTTGGTGTAGACACGATTACTTCTGAGAGCAGCCACCAGTGCCAGCAGTGTTGGCAGCTGCTCCAGCAGCACAGAAGAGAAGGGAGTAGACCTTTATTACAGGGACTAAAATATGTGAATATATATAAATACATGTATTTATAACCCTTTATAGATCTGTATCTGTGTGAACAGTGTTATTTAGGAAGCTAGCAGATAAGCTTTCAGGAAAAAGATGTAAGGCAAATATGGCATGTGCTGTCTGATCCAAAGGACCGTGGTGTATCACGGACCGTTTGGGCCGCCTCTCTTGCTCTCAGTGTACAGGTTGAGGCTCTAAATGCTGTCTCAGAAACTTTGGTTGCTAGTGAAACCCTTCATTTTAATCTGCGGGAATCTTTCTGATTACTCTTGTAACCTGCTCCGATTAGTTCACCGGTTTGTGCCTT